CAATAGCCATCCATTGGGGCCACTCTGGGTCTTGGTTAAAAGAAGAAGATCCAGATATGTCCCCTCCTAGAGATCCAAAAGTTGTGGGAAGCTTGTTGGGAGCAAGAGTTGTTTCTTCCTCGAGCCCATATGAAGCTCCTGAGTACAAACACACACTGGAAATGGCTGGTGATACTGAAGACATGTGCTCTGAGAGCAGTCAGATGGTGGCCAAGAAAAGCAGTGGTCCATAAAAGGGCCATGGAGGGTGCTGGGGGCCACTACAAGTGGTCTTTATGCCAGGGAGAAGGCACCAAAGATTTATAGCAGTGACACAGCCAAAACTAGGGAACTCCAGCCATCAGTGCAGCTTAGAGAAAAAAGGGCCAAAGGCTGGAAGAGTGCAGTGTTTGAGAATTATGAGTAGATGGTTACTCTGAAGTCTGGCTGGGGGGAGGGAAGGCAGGCAAGAGGCACCAGATGAGGCTCATGAGGCTAAAAGTGCACCAGGCTAGATGGAAAAAGCCTTCTTGGCAGTTTAAGGCACAAGGATGGCACGGGCAGAGATTCATTAGGAAATCTCCCTCTGGAAATGCAACACATGCCAGAGACTGACTGTGGACAAACTGAGGTGGATGAGGCCTTAGTAAAGATCTCCCAGGACCAGCAATGTAGCAGATGGTATTCTTACCCCTGCAGCCCTGGAATTGTGTCCTTTAGTTAAGAGGCTAAAGACTAGCTCCTCATACAAACACTTAATATTCATATTGGAAGAAATTCAGTAAAATTGAATAAAATATTTTTATGCTTTGAAATAATTTTAAAGTGTCATTCATCTATATATTTTGTAATGGCCAAGAGAAAAGGTTATCTTGAATTAGAGGAAGGTCTGATGTCCACAGAAAAGAAACTGATGCCTATAGTTATGGAGGGGAATGAAAATAGAGAAACAGGCAATTTTTACTTTGTACCTTATCTGCAACTATGCTTAATTTGTTAAAAAGCATGATCATATATTACATTTTAATATAAAAACAATTAATAAATTAAAGTAAGGTTTTAAAATTCCTTTGAAGTCTGTGTATAGTTAACTGGGCATCAACGATATAGCATGTGACTCATTTTTAAGACTCCTTGGCAAACAAAGAGCTAATATCTTAAAGAGTCTCTCCTTAAAAACATAAAATAGCACTCTTTATAATAAAAGATCCTGCCTTTTTCAAAATCAATGATCAAAATTGGGATTTAATAGGTTACAGAGTTACCAATTTAGGCAGAGACAACAAGTGCTGTGTTGCTCCTTTTCTTCCATGCTGGCCTTTGGTCTCATGACTGTGTAGAGGAGGGCCTGAGTCCTTCCACGCATGCTTAAGTGCTTAGAATGGCATGGAGATGTGGAGGCAGGAGGTGAGCCTACACAACCATATCACAAACATCTTAGCAACTCCACAGCTCTCAGATAGGGAAATAGCCTTCTATGACCCAAATGAATTTAATCTTAGGTGAGACTGAGGGGAAAAAAACCCCACCTAAAAATCTAGTCCTAATCCTATTCCTGTGCATTATGATCATTATCTGTGTTATTGATAGATCAATAGTATTTGTTTGCAGGTTTTGGTTCAGCTTTTTACATGGTAGTATAAGTTTTCCATATCACAAGGTGAGAATTTCGTAAGTTTCAGACTCTGTCTCTGCCTCTTTCTCTGTCTCTCTTTCCTCCCTCCCTCCCTCCTTCCCTAGTACTCGTGAAGGAACCCGGGGCCTTGCACACACTAGGCAAATGCTCTACCACTGAGCTACAGTGACTGTCTCTTACAATACCAGAGAAGTGATGGAGTCTAGCCCTTCCCACAACCTTGCCAAGCTCTCTGAGCTCTAGACTGCTGATAACTAGCTATGAGAACTTGGGCAAACACAGGTATTTAGGTCTCTGCATCGAAAATTCCTATCAGCAGAAGAGACACTAGAATTAAATGGGTGAGGTGAGAATTAAGTGGGTTGATTTTTATAAGGTGCTTAAATCCAACCTGCACACACAGTAAACTTTCTGGAAGTGTAAGCCATCATTTTACAGCCCAAGCAGGGTTGGGTTTTCTGGGTTCAGAATCAGCACACGGTGATAGCATCAAACTACTGATTGCAATTAAGACTACCTCACAAAGGCAAACTCAAAGATCACACTTACTAGTGTTGAAACTTCCAGACAAATGTCAAGAATGTTCAATTCTATTTATAGACTATTAAATTCAAAGCTTTTTAGAGACCCAGAAAAGTATTTTCCTTTTTCTTTTTCCTTTGCCATGCTGGGGATCAAACCCTGGGCCAGCACTCTACCACTGAGCTACACAGCCCCCAGAAAAGTATTCAAATGGGGATTTTTTTTAAAGGTTCTTTGATCAGAACAACATAATGTTGGGTTAAAAAACCAACTTGTGCCAGACGTGGTAGCATATGCCTGTAATCCCAGTACTCAGAAGGCTGAGGCAGGAGGATTGCTGTGAGCTGGAGGCCAGCTTGGGCTACATAACAAGACTCTGTACCAAAACAAAACAAAACAAAAACAAACACAAACAAACAAAAATTTCCATGATGTTACTTCAACAACTGGTAAAGTGCCAAACTCATTCAGGCTTACTTTGGCTAAAGCTTTGGTCAGGATGAGTAGTTTTTGAGAAACTATGGGAAAGATACTTTAAAATTTTTTTTTCAGGTGCTCAAGTAACCTACAAATCATCATTTTCAAAGGCTGAGTGTTCTCTTATGAGCCTGTCTATAGCACACTTAAAGTGATCTCTTATGAGCCGGGGATTTAGCTCAGTGGTTCCATCACCTGCCTTGCAAATGCAAGGACCCGAGTTCCATCCCCGGTACCAAAAAAAAAAAATCATTAGAAAGTTCTCTATGCCAACCTGTACTTCACTTCCCTATTTAGTAGTCATTTAAGTAGTAAGTAACCAATTAAGTAGTAAGTAATCATTTATATACCTGACAGTACTCAGAATATTCAAGACTGGATTTTCCTAGGGTTTAGGTACTGAGTCAGCTTATAATGTAAAACTTTCTTATAATCAAATTTATTCTTGAAAACTTCTTAAATGGCCCACAAAGTAAAATTCTAATAAAGCTGATTTTTACCTCCCCCTACTATTGGAATAAATTACTTTGGCTGAGCTAATGAGGTGGTTTTCATTTAAGAGCTGTGTTGCATGAAAAATACATTTATTCACTTAGCATGAATGCATGTGGTTTGATTATCCGTATTACACAATGCTATGAAATAGTGAATGTTTTCCTTTTAAAGATGTTCTCACAGAGTACCCTCAACACATCAGGCACTGCAAGGCCAGGACACTTGCCACACACATTCCTCACAACACATCAGTGTGGAAAAGCAGGCAACTTACTAACATCATACTAAGCCACTTCCTGAGATGAAGTGACATTTATAGGGATCAGGAGAAAAAAGTATGGTGACCTGAGAGTGGTATTCTTGAGGGTGAGGGGGGAGCAGAGTGATGTACAGAACCCTATCACTGTATCTTAAGAAGCAAGTTCACATGGAGTTGTTTTCTACCCCCTAATAAATATTTTATGAGATCTTGACTCATCTTCAAAGAACATTGGTTTGCAGCAAATTCTCAAAATATTTAATTTGGGGACTATTCATACAAGAAACTCCAAATAATACTATTTATTTAGCAAAACAAAATACACTAGGAAAAATCTTCAAAGATATCTTCAACTGCATGAACAACCCAATGAATCCTTTTAAGACAGGTACTTTAAAGATGTCATTCTAGAAACATACTGTTTACTAATCCTTCAGTTACACCAAAACACATTTTATGGGTATTACAAAAGAACACAAACTCCAGCAGTCATCTTTCCCTAACAGAGCAAGCACGCCAAGGATTCAATTATACCAAAGATTCCCACAATTCTCTGCCATCTAAGACAGATGGATTTTGCAAACTATGGATCAGATGCCACCTTGATGAGGAAGTGAATTCATTAGTATCTATTGTTTGGGCAGGGGATTTAGCTCAGTGGTTCTGGCGCCTGCCTCAAAAGTGCAAGGTCCCAGAGTTCGATCTCTGGTACCAAAAAAAAAAACAAAAAAACGAAAACAAAACAATATCTATTGTTTGATGGATGCTGGAGAAAATGGAAAAAGGCATTCCCACACCTGTTTCAAAGCCCAGTCAGGGTAGGTTTATAGCTCAGGTGTGTACCCAAGTAGGTTTGTTTCTAAAAAGTGATGGCAGAGATACTGCCATCTGTTCAAAGGGATTCTCCCTTCAGGGTTACTGTACTACAAATTTTGCCAAAAATGTGGCAATCTACAATGTGCAGGAAGAATAACATCATGGGAAGTACAGACTCCTAGCGTCTTCCCTTCAGGTCCAGTGACCTTAACAGCCACCAACTTCATTTCCTGTCAATTAGAGATATTTGGCCTGTCCCCTGAGGGGTAGGAAAGGGTCAAATAAACTGAAACCTCAAGAAGCATTTTATGAACCATAAAACAGGATCACATGAGATGATTAACAGACTAAGAAAGTTAGACAACTCAAAGTTAGACAACTCAAGAGACACATTCTGGTATGAACATTTTATTTTAACAAAAATGCACTTTAAAAACTGATTTTATGGGCCAGGGATTTAGCTCAGTGGTTCTGCCACTTGCCTTGCAAGCGCAAGGACCTGAGTTTGATACCCCCCAAAAAAACAAACAAAAAAACCTGATTTTACACCCTCAAACTCTGAAATTTCCACTTACTTAAAAAGTGAGAGACAAGGCATCCTAGACTCAATTTCAGGCATGAATAAACTAGTACCAGATTTTTAAGCTATATAAGCTAGCTGCATTTTTGGTACCATAAAAATAGTGACATTAACTTGTTTCAAGAGTACCTGTAAAAAGCACATGGGACATATTTGTGTAAAAACAGTCTCACCTCAATAAACATCTATGTGTTTGACATATATGTCCATTAATGATAGGCACAACTCTAAGAACATCAGATTACACAAATTATTTTTTAATAATTGTGATTAGGAATTGAAACGTACAAGGAATCTAAAGGTAAGTAGCTGAAAATGCTACTACTACACAGAAGCACATCGTAACAAGGAATGATACAGCTCTCCTCGAGGAATGACTTCGGAAAATTTAAATGATTATTTTACTAGAAAAGTTAGAACCTTTAGTGAAAAAGTAACTCAATCTCCCAAGATCCAGTAAATTACAGATTTTGTGCAATTACTAACATACAGTTTAGGAGATTAATACTGACCAACAGAACTTTTAGATGGTTCTGAATGGTCTACAGTTGCCTTTGTTTTACATGTCTATGAAATTAAAGATTTCTCAGTGAGAAGTTGACACTTATTCTGAACTAGATACAAATAACGTGTAGATTCAGAACCAATGACTGCTCTTCACCCTCAAGGAGTTTCTTTTAATTTACACAAAACTAGGTTGGTTTTTCTTTTTCAAATGTACATGGCCCATTTCCTAAATCCTAAAAAGTAAAGGGAGACAAATGGACAACAGTTTATGTATTTTGTGAATTTTTTTACCCTTTTTAAGCAAATTCAACTGCCATCTAGTCAGTGATATGGCAAACTTGTTACAAATTTCTATGACTTGGAAAATTAAAGATCTAAGAACTCTAAATGCTGCAGCTATGTCTCCTCCCTGTGTGAGTTCATGCAGTCTTCGACTTACTCCTCTTGTTTGCAGGCTTTACTAGCAACTTTCATGTCAGCACTCAGGAGACCAAAATGATTTGAGAAAAGGATATTGTTAAATTAACCCTCCACAAACATATCCTAGCTTGTTATAAGAGGGCTTAATATATCTGTGAGTTAAATTTTAATTAAAAAGCCATTTACTGTAACACAAATGAAGAATAAAATGTAATTAAGAACCACTCTTTTAAAAAGTCTTTACTTTTAATGACTGGTATTTTTCACTTAGAAACAAATGAATTGAATAGCTAGCAGCATTTAAATACAGAAATAGTTCCATTTCTTTTTTCCTTTTATAAAGTGCCATTTTTAACCAGACAGATTTACCACCCAGCTTTTCAGTAACTACACCATAGTTCTTTGAGTAGATGCAAAGAATCCTAGGAAAACTGGAAGATTTAGCATTTTAAACATTTGCAAGATGTTGCTACAAAGCATAAAACTATGAATGTACTAGTGAAATTAAAAATATCTCTTACAGAAGAATCATTAAGTTGACTTAATAATTACTTCATAGCATAGGCTCACTAACATGCCATCTTTTGCAAATTTAACCCTAACTCTACAGTTTCTGTTAATACTCCCTAAGCACGATTACGTTGTGCCAAATAGAATCAAAGGTTATGTGAGCCCCAGCATAAAAATCCTAGCAAATTTAGACTTTTAGAGTAGAAAAACAAGTTACTGACAATCAGAACAAGAGGCGATGTTTTATTTAAAAGTACCATAGGCTGCTAAGTGTCCTAAATAAAAGTTTGGGCAGTTATTAATAATGGTCAGTAACACTGAGTGCAGTGGTATTGGACAAACAGGTGGAAACCAGAGTACATATTAACTCAAAAGTAAATGTTGCCTATTTCTTTAGTGATTAATTTAAAACTGAAATCGCTTTAAAAAAAATAACTGAACTGCTACTTATAATACAAATAGGATACCAACAGGATTCCCGTTATTTTCTAATTAGTATTTTTGAAACTCATCTCTGTCCTGACCCTCTGTAGTACCTTAAGAAGCAAATTAGTAAAAAACAAGGTAGCATGTAGTTTCGTTTACACTTACAAATACCAGTTTTATTACAATTTGCATTTTTTGTTGCTGATGAAAAAGTAGCTACTTAGAAAAATAGATACATAAAAGTGCACTATTCCTTTCTTTGGATGGATCCAGTAGTGGTTAAAGCAAAGGAACTCTCAATCATCAATTTTGCCACCCCACCCCCCGCCCCCATTTAGTACATTTCTAGTCCTCAGAAATAGGACCTTCAGGTCAGAGGGGTAGTGTGGGGAAGAGGCACAGATCAGTGTTTGATGAATCACTTAAAAAGAAATCCACTTCCCCTGAAGTGGCCTGAAGGGGATATCTCCCTACTCACCCCAGCCCCTCAAGGAAGAACAGGTAATTCTGCCTATCTTTTCTGGTCTCTCTTCTTTATCCACACCTAGTATTCCATCCCGAAAGACAGGCAAACCTTAGCATTTCGGAAAGAAATAATTTTTATCCAAACACATTGGACTTGGGTCTTAACTTGAAGGAGGACGAGTGCCCTCTAAAGGACCGCTCCTCCTCCTCTTCCTCCAGCGGCTGCTCAGGGTCCCGGGAAGAGAGCGTGGTGTGGATGACCTGGGTTTTGAAGCGGATCTTATTGAGCCTGGGTTTTATCCTTCCACTAGAACTGCCTGAGGCTTTGCGATCCTTGGCTTTGCCTCCAGCCCACCCTTCAGCCAAGTGGTGGTGATGGTGGTGGTGTTCTCCATCCTCCAGGACATGCGAGAGTCTGTAGGTGATGAGGTGAGCGGGGAGCACCTTGGACAGCCTCCAGCGCCCGCCCCCGCCCCCGCCGCCGGCTGCGCTCTCCACCTCCTCCTCCTCGTCCAGGGCGCCCACCAGGCTCTTGATCTCCTCGGCGACGCTTACACTCAAGTACTGGGAGGCCTTCCTCCCGCTGTAGTCCCTGATGTCCACGTCAGCGTCGTAGGCCCCCACCAGTAGTTTAACCACTTCCACATGCCCGTGCATGGCGGCGAGATGAAGGGCGGTATAGCCTCCGCTTGTGCGGGCGTTGATGTTCACCGGTAGCTGGTGCTTGCCGGCAAAGTTGACCAGCGTGGCCAGCAACTCCTGCCGCCCGTGCTTGGCGGCCCAGTGCAGGCAGGTGAAGCCGGTGATGAAGTCGCGCTTGGCCAACAGGCCAGGGTCGCAGGTGAGCAGCGCCTCCAGGCCAGCCCAATGGCCGTCGGCGGCCGACAGCATCCAGGCGTGCTCCAGGGGATCCAGTGCCACGGTGGCCCCGCTGCCCTCTTCCTCCGCCGCCGACGAGGCCACCGATGCGCTGTCCGAGTCACCCCTGCCGCGACCTCCGCTGTAGGAGGCCCCGGGGCTGCTGCGCCTTGGCCGTGGGGAGCTGCCAGGGACGGGGTCCCGAAAGCCCGGGCGCACGGCCCCCGGAGTGGCGGGCGCATTCTCAGGGGGTGGCCGGAGCGGGTCGTGCGCGGGCTCGGGGGACTGCCCGGGCGGGTCGCACGCGGCGTTGGGAGGCTGCCCGAGCGGGTCGCGCGCGGGCTCGGGGGGCGGCCCGGGCGGGTCCGCAGCCGGCGGGCCCCCGGCGCAGAAGCGCTTCTTCAGGTGCACGTACTTGGCGCCGTCGTCGGGGTCGGTGCGTACGGTGGCCACGGTGTTGATCAGCTCCTTGAAGTGCGCGCGGGCTCGGGCACGCTGCTCCGGCTCGCCGCCCAGGGCACCCCTGAAGTGCTCCACCAGGTCTGTTTGCCGGACGCGGCCCCCGCGCTCCACGAGGAACCGCAGCACCGTTTCGGGGCTCGGCTCCACTGGCCCCTCCATCTGCACCGCGCTACTGCTCTGGGTGGACGGTTCAACCCGGCCCCATCGCGCCGGGGAGGGTGCTAGAGTACAACTGGCTGAGCAACCGACGCTCAGGAGACTGCAGCCCAGGACACCGCACCAGCTCTAGGGGCCGCGCCCGAGGGCTACGCCCCGACCCCGCCCACTTCCGGTCCATGCGCGGTCCCTACTCGCCGCTCCCTACAGCCTAGTCACGCCCACTTCCGGTCCGAGCGGGCCGCAATCACTGCTCCCACAGGTCGTAGTCGACCGGCCGTTTCCTCCTGGAGCCTTCCTCCAGTTCCCGCTCTGTTCAGTTGCCCTCCCGCCCTGGCTCCCGAGCTCTGAGCGCCAAGGGCGCTCCTGAGGGGCTCGCCCGGCGCGCGGGAAAAGCTAGCCCGTGCTGGACTCCGCCCCGCCGAGGCGGCCCCGCCCACCTCCCCCTCCTCCCCCCGCCGTCCGGGACGGGCGCGGGCAGGCCTGGGTGAGACCTCCGTTCGCAGCTTGCTCGCCTGGCCATGGCCGCCACCGACGACGCGCGGCGTCGGGTGAGTCTGCGTCCTCCCTTGGGGCCCCCAAAACTTTCTGGCCCAAGTCCCAGAGACCGCGGCGCCCCTCTACAGACCCCGGAGTCTCTAGGTTTCCTGCAACCTCCTCAACCTAGGAGTCTCCCGAACCACTGCTAGTGCCCCTTGGTCCGCGTGAACGACGCACCCAGCCCGCGAGAGGTTCGGGTCTTCTGCGGGGGGCCGGCGTTGCCCGACCGGGAGCGCCCAGCTGGCGGGATGGGCGGTGGCCCGCCCTCCTCTAACGGTCTCCGTGCATGGCGACCTCCGCAGCCCGCGGGGCCCGAGCCCCTCCGCCCGCCGTCTGCGCTTGAAGTAGCATCTTGCGAGCTGGCCCTGTCGGGCTTCGGTCTCGCTGTGGGTGTCTCGGCAGTGGCGAGCGGGATTCTCCGCAGGATCCGCCTTTGTCTCCGCTGGATCCCTTAAGTGCCGGACTTCCCGCGGCGCGTGGTGGGGAATGATCTCCCTGCGCGGTTCTTGCTGTGAAAAACGTTCCGTTTCAATTTGTAACACTGTAAATGTCGCTGGTTGCAATGTATGTAAAGCTGTCCGAGGCTAGAGACAGTTTTAGGACTATTGATTCTAGCACTGTGCTGCAGAAGTCAGTTCCGATGGCGCCTAGGAGGGGCGACTATTTGTTCAACAGAGCCTGGGCTGTCCTCTCCACCCGATCAGATGTTTAGAGAAGTCTCTTTCAGTGTGGATTGCTGTGACAGTTGCTGTGTCTGTGTGCCTGTGTCGGGGAGGGACATGTGGAGGGGACCTAGTGAGAACTCTATTGGATTTTTTCACACAGCAGAGTTTTCTGGAGATTCTTCATCTAGGTTGCTGCCCAGTACTGTATCAGTAGTTTTGCTGAGTGGTGTTCCATGGTATGGATGTAGCAGACTTTGTTTGAAGCAAACCGAGGTTGTTTCTAGTTTTTGGCTATTACATATACGGCTGCTAGAAACATTCCTGTAAGTAATAACTAATGTTACATAATGTAAACATAAATCTTCAGTTCTCTGGAGTAAATGTTCAGGAATACAGTTGCTGGGTCATATGGTAATTGCATACTTAGGTGTATTTTATTTGGGTACTGGAAATTGCAAACCAAGACCTTCATACTGAGCTGTATCTCCAGCTTTTTTTAAAAAATTGGTTATTAAGCCCGGGATTTAGCTCAGTGGTTCTGGCGCCTGCCTCGCAAGTACAAGGTCCCGAGTTCAGTCCCCGGTACCCCTTCCCCCCAATTGTTTATTTTGAGACAGTGTCTCCCTACATCCTAAGTTGCCAAGCCTGAGCTCGAATTTGTGAGCTTCCTGTCTCAGGCTCCAAGAGTGCTGAGAGTACCCCTATCAGCCACCATGCCTGTCTGCAAGTTTAGTTTTACATATATCATATGGCCAGACTGGTTCCCAGAGTTGCTGTACTATTATACCATTTTCCATTCCCACCATCAGTGTATTAGAGATCCATTTTCTCCACATCCTTGGCAGCATTTAATATTGTCCCTGTTTGTAGCCACTCTGATAAGTGTGTAGTGATAACTCATTGTAGCTGTAAGTACATTTCCACAGTGGCCAGTGATGGAAGTTTTTTCATATGCATATTTGCCATTTCCTCTGTTATTATGCCTTCATTTCTTTTTTATCCATTTTCTTTTTTTAATCCATTTTCCAATTGGATTATTTAGATTTTTGCTTTTGAGTGTAGATTCTAGTTCCTTTTCAGGTATGTGGTTTGCAAATTTTTTCTTCTCAATTTGTAGTTTGTCTTTTCATCCTCTTAATAGGATCTTTTGCAAAGCAGAAGTTTTAAAGTTTGATGAGGTTCATTCAATCACTTTTTCCTTTTACGGATTTTGTTTTTGATATCAAGCATAAGAACTCTGCCTAGCCCTAGATACCAAGGATTTTTCTCTTACTATTTCCAGTGAAAGTGTTACACTTTACATTTTATATTTAATTTCATGATCCATGTAGAATTAATTTTTCTAATATAAGAAGCCTTCAGTTGAGGGATTTTTTTTTTGTTTTCTTTTGTTTATGGATGTCTAGTTGCTCCAGCACTGTTGGTTGAAAAGCTCTCATTCCTATATTTAATTGTTGTATTTTATTTATTTATTTTAAAATTTTGAAACAGGGTCTCATTAAGTCACTAAGTTGCTGGGATTGAACTTGCAGTCCTCTTGCCTCAGCCTCCCAGAGTGCTGGAATTAAAGCCACCCCCATGCCAGCTTGTTGCATTTCTGTCAAAAGTCAGTTGAACACATTTATGTGGGTCTATTTCTGGGATCCATATTACCATACACTGTTGATTCCTATAGCTGTATAAATCTTCACATAGTGTGGCTGATACCTCCTACTTTATTCCTCTATTCTCAAAAAATTTTTAACTATTCTAGTTCTTTGCCTTTATACATTTTAGAATCATTTTGAAGAATTGAGCTGTTCTTTGTAGTTGTCAAATTTACATGAATAGACTATGTCTACAAAAAGACTTCCTTGGATTTTTATAGGAACTACATTAAATCTGTATATCAATTTAGTGAGAATTGATATCTTTACTATTTTGAGTTTTCCACCTCATGAGCAGGGTATTTCCCTTTTTTTCTTTATATTTCTTTGATTTCTTTTATTATCATTTTTGGCATACAGTCTTGTATATGTTTTATTAGTCATACTTTTATGCCTAAGTATATAAGTTTTGAGGTATTATAGATGTTTATTGGTTTTAAATTTTATTCACTATACAGTAATATAGTTGATTTTTAAATGTTTACCTTGTGTTCTGTGACCTTGGTAAATTCATTTATTTTGGGAGTTGGAATTCTTTGAAATTTTCTACATAGGTAATCATATCATTCGCAGATAGGGACAATTTAACTCTTCCTTTACCTGCTTGCCTTTTCTTTCCAGTCTTATTTTGCTTGCTAGATTCTAGCACTGTGTTCCTTCTTAATTTTTGCTTTGTTTTGTTTCATTATGTTACTTTAGCACTCTGTTCAGTAGCAGTGGTGTAAAAAGACCTTCCTTTCCCTGTTTCTGTTATTGTAAAACTCAGTTTTTCAGCTGTAGAGGTTTTTTTAAATCAACTTTACAAGGGCTAACAGCCTATGGTTTCCACATACACTACTATCTTTGATTTGATACCAGAAAAATTGAACGTATGGAATTGGTATTAATTTTTTAAATGGTAAGATTCTTAAATGACACTATTTATGGCTGCAAGTTTCTTTTTTGGGTGTTTTCAAATTACAAATTCAGTCACATAATAGTTATCAGTCTACACTCATCTTATGTTATTTTGTGTGATTTGTGGTAGTTTGAAGAATTGAACTTTTCCTTCCAGTTGTCAGATTTACATGAATAGACTATAGTCCTATCCCATTTCAGTCCTAATGTTGATAATTTGTGTTGTGTACCTTTCCTTTGTCACTATTAATAGTTTATCAATTTTCTTTTCTTTTCAGTGAATTAGCTCTTTGTTTCATTGATTTAAAATTTTTTTTCTGTTATCAATATAAATGATTTCTGATCTTTATTTTCTTTCTTTGGAAAAGTATTTTTTCCTTGCTTGTTTTGAGTTTATTTTGCTCTTTTTCTAGGTTCTTGAGGTGGGAGCTTAGTTTATTGATTTGCTACTTTTCCTCTTTTCTGATGTATTCATTTAGTGATATGGATTTCTCTCTCAGAATAAGTCTAAAAGTCCCCAAAACAATACCTATGCCACAGCCTGAATATTGGGCTGCTTTAAATTTCCTCCAGTAGATTAAGCAGTCCACTCACTTAATGTCAGTCTCCTACAAAATCTCAGGGTATGGGCAAATTGAAGACAAATTTTCTGCCAGAAAGTAACACACATGGCCTCTAGTCCAGCTGCCAATAGAGTCCTTGTTCCCAGCTTCTGAGGCTCTCCTTTATTGCTCACATTCTTGTCAGCATTCTGGTCTTCTGAATTTTGAGTAAAATCTCCCGTCAATCTCAACTTACTGCATTCTAGGGCTTCTCTAGCCAGCATCTCCAGACCTTTTCAAACTCTTTCTGTGAACTAGTTCCAAAGGCTTCTAAACCTTGGTTGGGTATAGTTACAGAAATGACCCTACTTCTCGGGTACCAAAGTCTGCCTTAGTCACTTTCCCATCACTGGAACAAAATACCCAACATCTACAACTTAAAGGAGAAGTTTTTTTCATGAAACCATAGCTCTTAGTGTCAGTCCATGGTTGGTTGGCTCTAAGGCAGGAACAGGATGCAGAGGGAGGGGCAGGAGGCAGAGGAAAAGGTACTTAACTCATGGCAGCCAGGAAGCAGAGAGAGAGAGAATGGGAATAGCCAGAGACAAGAATATACTCTTCATCATGCCCCCAGTGCCCTACATCCAGTCAGCCCCCTCCTCCTAACAGTACATTCAGCTACTGATGCCCCAATGATCCAGTCACCCTCCAACACATAATACTTTTGGGGGACATTTTAGATCTAAGTTATAACAAATTTCAGTTTTTTAAAAATAGAACAAGACATTAAAACTACAGAAAGAGGTTTAATGTCTTACTAGCAGTGGTAAGTTCTACTCGG